TCTGTTCTGTTAAAAATAATTTTAAAAAGTACATTCTGTGCCAGTTTTTAAGACTATATTGATTCATACTTTAAAGAAAGATTGCACCTAGAACTGTTGACTATTTTTTAAGCTTGATAATTTCACCACATTTCTGAATGTCTATGAACAAACTTTCTTTCACTTCACTAATGAGATCTGCTAGTAGAGTTTCACAGCAGGGGAAAGATCAATGTGTCATTGGGGAGAGGGTAGCATAAGTAACAATTTTTCCTCAGCAAAAAAGAATAAGAAATTTCCTCTTATATGATTTCTTCCTACCAGGTGGCAAACACTTCAAACTACTGTTGAGAGCTCTTAGCTGTAAATGCATTTAGATACTTTCGGCCAGCAACTGGTCCTACACTCACTACCAGCCATCACAAATTCTGGACAAGAAAAACATATGAGACTGCCTGAGGCCCTGTAAATAGTCTTGTCTGTAGCTTCTGATTCATGTCCATCACATGAACTTTGTCAGCAGTAAGCTAATGAGTAAGAATCCCACATATAAATACTCTTCTGTCTTATTAGGGATTTTTTTTGTAGGGGCTACAGAAATCAGAGCAGTACCAGAACATAGCACAGCAGTTAATGGGGACAAGGACTGCATCCTGCCTTGTTCTCGTGGATAAAAGACACTTCATTAACGGACATAATACCACACTCCGCACAAACACCGGAGATATCCCATAACAGGTTACCTTCAAAAAACCTCGTTATTGGTAGCAATTTTTGCATTCATTAACATGTCCCTCCATACCGTCTTGATCTGGGCATTTTGGACAGGGATCTCCATAGTACCTGTAATTCTATAATCAAAAAAAGAAAAAGTCTATCAAGAAATTTCATGTCTTCACTTTCCACAGTACAACAGGTTGCTGCTATCCCAGCTTTTCCATCAGAGGAGATAAGGACTATTGAGACCAGTAAGTACATCTCTTTCAGTGTGCAGCTGCTATGTCTTCAATTGCAGTTTAATGAGATTCCTAAAATGTTTGGTACAGGATACGCTTCTGATCTTGTGTCATTCTGCAAGTCTGCTATAGTGCTCCTAGTTTAAAAGTGTTAAGAACAGCTGTGCTGCTGAAAAGCTAGTTGAAAAGCTACTGGTGTTGCTGTTGCATGAAAAAGGCGCTGAGCATTGAATATTCTGACTTCTCTAATGTCTATCTTTAAACTTTGTGTTCACACTTTTTCTTTTTTACATAAAAATATTGATACAAAAATTAGTTCTATCTCATTCTCCTTCTTTTTAGATTGCAGGATCATAAGTAAAGCACATGAGTTTCTAGCTATTGAGAAAATGCCAGGTAAAAGAAATTCTTCAAATTACATTGATAAATAACAAGATTCACCTAAAAGTTGAAATCTCACAATTCAAAGCAGGTACAAGCTTAAAGGAAGGGAGTATTCTGAACTGAAACAAGCTGTCAGTGTAAATGTTCCAATCTTTCTTGAAGTATTCAGATCAAAACTGACTCCTTTCCAGGATACATTATTTAGCCGAAAAACCCCAAACCTATTCAACCAAATACAGCTTTGTACTAGATGAAAGAGTGATAGTCTGCAATGATAAAATTCTATAATTTGGTTATTTTATTTGTGGTTTTACAGAATAAGAGAAGAGTAAAATTCTCAAAATAGACTAAAATAACCACAGAAATTATACTCTGGTGAGATCTGCTTAGAAAACCCATTACGTAGCTCAGATGTCTTTAACAGGTTTCTAACTTTATTCCCAAGTTAATTTTAAAAATGCAGGCCATAGCTGTGCTCTATCAATACACACACATAAGGGCAAAGGCCTAAGACATAAGCATTTGAGCGACTCGTGCAAAATGGCATCAGAGAAAATCATTGGAACATGAAAAACACCTTTGTACTGTGCTTGTTCAGGCAAATGGGAAGTAAAGAGTATTATTTTTATGTTTGCACTGAAAAAAGGACATCTTAAGGTTGATAATAAGCATGGAATATGCCCAAGGTAATTTTTGGAAGAGTAACTAAAGTTTGCAAATTAGTTTGATTAGTAACATTTAAAATTATTGTTAAATTTGATAAATGCCAATATTGGAAGATCACACCTTTGTAACCTAATTATGTGCTATCAGAAGAAAGCTTGCTGCATTCTGTAATTTTTGCTAATGCTTTAGAACAAATAACTGTTTTAATACCTCTTAATTTCCTACCTCACAAGGACAGATATTTAATCTTTGGAATTATTTAGAGTTATCAATATTTTATAGGCTAATTTGGCATCGATTTTTTCTTTTTAAATTCTGGAATACACTATCCTCTAAACAAAATCTATCTCCTAAGAAAACCTGCCAGTTCAACAGTGATGACTTCTGTTTGCTTTTTGATCCAATATAGAACCTTGAAATTTCATGCTTCTCTACTGCAGTCCCATACAGAATTCCATCCTTAAATCCAACGACAAGTAACGTATTTTTGTCTACTTCTCAGGCTGCCTAAGGCACTTCAGTTTAGGAAAGGTAAAGAAGTTAAACCCTGCAATATGCAGCTTGTGCACATTTCCACCACATGGATCATACCCCACTGTAAGGGCAGCACAACATGTGAGTTCTCTAGAAAAAAATGAATGCCCAAACATCTAAGAATTTGGACTGCATTTCCTATACATCGGCATAACATTAGTCAAATAGAAGAAAACTATAATGAAGCCCTGCTCATATTAAACCAAGTAAGGAAAAATGTATTTTTTTTATTTCTTTTTCTGGAACAGATTTAATTCTAAGTGGGAATGAAGAAAGATCACATATGAAGAATACATTTTTACATACCTGCAAATAGCAATACACTGTCTCAAATGACCCAGAAAGTCCAATTTTGAACATGGAATACTGCCCTTTTTGTAATAATTTTGATCTATCTAGCTCAGTAATATCCAGGCTTTGGGGGGGATTGTTTATTCATTTATTTTGGGGGATTTATTGTGGTTTTTTTTTCGACACAGTAGCTATAAGATTTCAGGAGTTGAAGATTAACAGGAAAGTATCTATTCAAGTAAATAGTCAGTTGGCTCCACCTTTTCAGAAGTCTGTTTAAACCTGGTAAGTCTGCTCTTGGTTGTTGTTTTGTTTTCTTCTTTCCACCTCCATTCTGGAAGTATGTTTATCATTCTGACCCCAAACGTTTATAGTTTGATAAATCTTCTGCTTCCTCTCCCCTCACACCCCAACAAATAAATGGACTTTTGCTTCTTCTCCTCTCGCATCTCAACAAATAAATGGAACAGAAAATGAGGTCGTTCATCACAGTGAGATAAAACCAGAAAGTTGACTCAAGAAATGAAACTCAGTTTCTAAGTAAATTTACAATATTCTTACATTACATGGCCTTAAGAACTGTGAAGATGCTAAGGCTGTATAAAGCTCTGATTATTTTTACTTTTTTTTTAATATCTGGAGAAGAAATAATGCCAGGTCAGGGTTGATTTGCAGCAAAAAAAAAAGCAATAAAAAAAATCAGAATCTACTCAGGCTTGCTCTGTCTGAATATAAGAGATTGCTTTATCATCTCTTTTACAAACTCCTACCGAGTTGCCCTATGTATTTTATGGCAACATTTGCAAGGAAACCATGGGCTTTTCTTTGAGTAAAAGCATACTGAAGAAGAATGACTATACAAAACCAATTTGGACAGATTTTTTTTCTGTCTATGGATTACAGTTGTGAAAATAATAATTCATGTAGTTATTAATGACATTTGGGGTTTGTTCTCTGTCAGTCTTTGGGAGGGGGGAAGCACATTTTCATTATTTTAGAGGTAATCTCTTCCTGCAGTATTCTGGTCCCACAGTGCACTTCAAGAACACGTACAGTTAATGGTGACAGTCTGACAGATGAAAGGAGTTCAGAAAAGAGCCACTAATACCGAAAGGTGTATTACAAAAAGCAGTGGCTGGTTCTATTAATATAAATCACTTGGTCCCAGTTTCAGAACACGATGTAAGTGAACGAATCAAATTAGACAGCAACCGGGCCAGTTAAAGAGACAAAATGAACTTCAGATTGTTGAAAAGATATAGTATTTTTTCCAAAAACTTAGACTCTATCGAGCTAGTAAAGTTAATCCCAAGATAATTTATTTTAATGAAGGTTCTTCCCCCTTCACAGACTGGATATAGGACTTCAAAGAAGACAAAACTTCACTTAGCTTTGCAAAAAAAAAGGTTTTAATAGTTATTCATTGTCAAATTGCAGCTTTTACCTTCCCTTTTCTATTGACCCACTATTTTACTGACAGTTATACACCTTTAAACAAGTTATTTTCAAGTCATTTCACTACACATTTATATCCTGGAGCTACCAGGCGTCTCATTCCTTTCTGAATAACAAACTGCCTACTTCAAAGCAGAATGTATGAAATCCAATGCAGATTCTCTGTAGTTTCCCTTCTTCTATGTGTTAGCTGATATATACTATGCAGCAGAGATTCTGCACCCTTATAGAGTGAGGTCTCCCATTAGACATGCACTCCTTCTGAAATCTTCAATTTTGTTCCAGTAAAAATTGGACCGAGCAAACTTTCTGTTCTCTTCCATTCAAATATTTTTGGGGGGAACAGGGAGGAATTGAAATTTGTAAAATATCTCCATGAGTTTCACAGATTGTCTCATCTGCAGTCACCAGTGTGGATGCCGAGGGGGACTCACTCTCCAGTCGGTCCAAGGCCACGTCCCCCTTCCTGACCGTTTTGTACAGTCTGACAATCAGTCCTCTGCACACTTGTATAGGAGGCTCCTCTCTCTGATGGGAACCACAGGGATGACCCTCATAACCTCCGGCTCCACAGCCAAACACATCCTAAGCTAAGCCACCTTCTTTGAACCTACCTGCCTCTGCCTGCTGGCAGCTCTGGCTCCCCCACCACCCCCTCCCCGCATCAGTTCTCCGGCATGGCCGGGCCCTTCCCGCTGGCTTCCCCAGTTGGGATCGGGAAGCGGCTGTCCTTACCTGGAGCGAACACCATGGTACCGCCCGGGCGGCGCGGCTCAGCACCTCGGACAGCTCCCGGCCCTGCGGAGGCTCAGCACCACGGACAGCGCCCGTCCCCGCCGGGCTCAGCACCACGGACAGCGCCCGGCCCCGCACGGCGGCGGAGGCGGCTGCGGGCCGCGGTCCCCCCACAATTGCGGCGGGGCGGGGAGGGGGCCGGGGCGCCCGCACGGACACACAGACACACACACACAGACACACACACACACTCTCACACACTCTCACAGGGAACCATCACTGCCACAACTCGTTGCCCTGCAGTGGCAGCAGGGGGAAGGGCAAAGAGGAGAAAAGCAAGAGCGACGTGCCCAGCAGGGAGCCCGGCTAATTGCTCCTAATTACCTCGCGGCAGCCCCGCTGCCTGACATTTTGGGGTACACTGCTCTCACCACAAGCTAACAGCCCTGGTAACGGGCTGCAGCGACACTGTACTTCGTCACAGTATTTTACTTTCCAAAGGTTCAAATGCTGAGGAATTTATACTCTGATTTCACAGGCCCCTTAACCCAGCTGTACCCAACAGCAGCACTTTAAGAGGGAACATGAATGTTTTCGCATATAAAATATGACATCATGGCCAAACAGTAAAGAAAGTAATGAATAAGTAATAAAATAGAGAAGATGAGGTCAAACAGCAGGAGAAGACAATTTAAAATTTCCCACCAACTTTTATGGGTGACATTTAATTTGCTTTTGTTTGTAAAACCCATGCTTAGATTTCCTGTGGACCCTGAACTTCTATAGAAGTAAGATGAACAACAGCCAAATGGGACACAATTTAGAAAAACTAACTGATTACCAGTGCAAATTAGAGAAAGTAGATTTGAAAAAAAAAATAGTATGAATGTTTGCATGTAAATTTTTCCAATATGCAATACATTTTCCAACCACATTTTCATAACCGACAGGTCATTTCATAACCCACAAACTTATTTCATTCTTTTTCACAGTCAAGCATTTTACACACATAGAATTCTCCAATTAAACCTGGAGAGGTTTAAGTCTCAAAATAAGGCCTTATTCTTAAAATACAGATACAGAAAAGCACTAGCCTGTTTAAATAATATTGCCTACATACTTCAACAAGAACTCAAGAAAGGCATCACTGTCAAAGTCAAACTAATTATCTGATGACAATTTTTTCTTTTCTTTTTCTTTTTTTTTTTTTTAACTGTATAACATAATTTCTCCTTGGAAATGCCTTTCAGATTTACCTTCACTTATCATTTCTAGTATCTGATTTCTGGATATTCCTTTAATTGCTCTTAACAATTTCAGCTTCTTTATTGCCATTTGTTTCTCTCTCCTGTCCTGTATTTCAGGGACTTAATTTCACTTCTCTCAGAGCGCAACCGAATTACAAATATAAACATATCTCCAGTTGCTCAGAAATGGTGTTCCCTCTATGATTATTACTTCAAAATTACTCCATTATTACTCCATTCTAACCTTTTTTCATCTATTATTCTTATTCACCTAAAGTCTGGGAACTAATAGGGTACCTAAGAACTCAATTAGAACAATTTCTAGTACAAGTATCCCACATGAAATACAGACAAGACTGCAGTCAGCATTATTTAGCATTCTTAAGAGAAAGGTGAAGGATATCCTGTAATCTTTAGAAAATCAGAACTGATATACAATTTGGAAAGGCGTAAGAAAATTTACACTAGTATTTTTATGATATATCAGTTATGTGGCCCCTAATGCTTGATTTGTGGATCTCCATTGCTCAATGGAAAGTCATCCATCATGAAAAAGAGATGCTAAGCCACTTCTCCCAAAAGAAAAATCTATTGTATATATTTCTATTACATATATCCTCAAAAGAAATTATATGGATGTCTACAAGGGATTGGGCTTTGAGGTAGTGGAGCACCTTGTTAAAAGATTTTCAAAACATTTTGGGGAAAGAATACAGTTCATTAATGATAATGTTCAACACACTTCTTTCTTTGACTGCTCTCTGTGTTTACCCTAACAAATAGCTCAAACCAGGCACATTTTATTTTAGAGTTTTCAGTTTTCTTGCTCAAATTAAAGGTTACCAGCAAGTAATGTTTTCTAACACAGAAAATAAATATTATCAAGAAGCATTTTGGGCTTCTTTTTGTCACATAATTAATTTTCAATTTAAGATTTGGTCACAAGTTCAAATGAACACAAAATCACTGAAATAACTGCAAATGACAGAGCTCTGTAGTGAACTGTCACCTAAAAAAATGTGCAGTTAATGCAGTAAAGCCACCAAAACAAAGACTGAACTAATAGTTATTTTTCATTCAACTTCAGATCAATGGAAAACATCATCAGGTATTCCCAGTAATAAAAAAAATAAATCTTGAGAATGAAGCACAGTGGTAAAAATTACATTATATCTTAAAAATATATGAAAAGATGTACCATCAACTTGTATGAAATAGAAAACACAAAAGCACTTACAAAAAATCTGTATATATTTTTATCATTAATTATACACTCCCTCTGTAACATCTACATTCTTACTGTTCGAGTGAGGAATTACTAATTTCTGTATAACACCAGGACATCTAAAAATTCTTTAGTATGTATCTTCAAAAACTTTTGAAGAAGTCTTGACTTACCTATAGGGTACTTTTTTTAAGAAATGTAATGCTTTTTTAAAAAGTTAACTAACATTTTGAGACAGTTATAAAAATCAAGTTGACTGATGTCACTTTAAATCATCTGTTGCTATTCATAATTACATGGTTTTACATCTGAATTAAACCCTGAAAACAATTATTTGGTTGCATAGAATCAGAAGCTTAGTAAATATGTATTAAGGAGGTATTTTTACCTGATATTCAAAGTTTCAATGTTTTGTTAACAAGTACACACAGCTAATATTTTTCAGGTAAGATTTTAAACTCTTTTCTGAAAGAATCATTCAGAAGTAATTACTTAAACATGAGAACAATTTATAATAAAATGTTTTCCAAAGTGATAAACAAGGTTTCATACATCTACATCAGAGGCTAGTATTATATTTTGTAAAAAGCTTTCTTCTCAACTTTGAGAATTAATTATCTCATATTAGAGTTTGGTTTTGGTTTTGTTTTGGTTTTTTTTTTAAATTTCCCTCCACATCCAAACTTTAATAGTCAAATCTAGCTTTTTGGGAGGAAAGACTAATAGGAAATTGCTTTAACTACTTGATGCCTTTTGCTAAACTAACTGCTATCATAATGGTCTTCAAAAACTTATTACAGTCACTGACTCTCTTATAGTTAAACTTAACAACAAAAATCTTTACTAGCCCAGGTGCAATACATTACATCTGAAATTTCAAGGAAATTGTTCAGAGGAAATTGTGACTGTCAGCAAGAAATATCTAAATATTAGATGAATATTTGAAGTGTCAAATGGCAATTTGTATACTAGGAGTCATATTATTCAGGGTCCTAGATTTAGACACCTAACTTCTAATACCTCTCTGATTATTATACCTCTAACAGAGAGATGTAGTGAATAAACAGAGGAGGTAGAAAGCAAAAGAAGGGGCACAAGTGCAAATCTCCTGAAAAACTAATTAAACGAAAAGCCAGTTACCTTTCTGTGAGTGCTCCAGAAGAATAATGATGCACAGATTTCCAGCAGCTAAAGACATGACACCTTGAAAGCCAGAAGCAAGAACATGCAACATTTCTCCAGATAGGAAAAAGTGAATACCACTGAAGATAAATGTGGCCACCACAGTTTCAATTCATCAGTCTATTAATCTTTCTTAACTAATCTGATAAACTGCACAGTAGTCCAGGGCTGAGATTTACAAATATGAATAAATTTCAGACAGAGTCTAGGAGAAATAGCTGTACAGTTTTCGGGTGGGTTTTGGGTTTTTGTTTGTTTCTTTGTTTTGTTTATTGCAGGGTTTTTTAAGTAGCACAAAGATGAGCCCACCACAGGACTTCCACAGTCTGCAAGTAGATCCCAAAAGCCCCACTTCCCTCAGTTGGTTTTATTGCCACCCTCTCATCTGAATGCCTCACACCCATGAATGGTTATCTTCCAACAGTCCCGTAAGTAAATTGGCATCTTTCTCTTTTAGATGGAAGTCAAAATTAGAGAAGCTGAACCCAAAGCAAAAGCCAATCAACAAGAAATAAGGACCTAGATAAATTCAGGAGGTTTAAATAAAAGATTGACAGACTCACCTAAACATCACTGCACATACAACTGTGCAGTAGAATCAAAGCAATCGTTGCTCCCACCTGCCACACCTCTGCAAGTTGCCAGTCCCTTCACCGAGACAGATGAATGAATCACAGTCCAAAATTCAGAGGCTTTCCACTACACGGGAATTCTTTTATACAGCAAGGAATTCAGTTCAGTCAAGTCCTTGGCTAGTGACTCCAGATCTAGCAGAGACACTGTGAAACATAGGCAGAGACTTTAAAGAACCTCACACACAACAACTGTCTCCTGACATGGACCAGGCCATACCATTCCGCACCACACTGAAGACACATAGGATGGGTTGGGAATCTGCCACAAATGAAACTCTCACCTTCAAACCTTTTCTGTTACTACCAGTGTGACATTTGTTACACTAAAAATGAGTGGCTTTTACGTGTCTTTCTCTCTTCTATAAAAACTGTTTTAAGACTCTGATCATGCCATGGCTTATTGGTGTGTGTAACTTGACACGAATCATAAAATTTGGCATTTGCTCAAGTCTTCAAAGAACCTAAAAGGAGAGAATTAAAGAAACATTTATGACCCATGGCAAAACAGCTTGCCAATGAACTAAGGAGAGGAATGAATGAAGAAACTTCCTAACTCATAAAAAATGCTATTAGAGTCCTCAATAAATCAGTTATACATTTTGACAAATGTAAACAACCTAAATATTAAACCACATGCTTAATTTAATGCTGAGAGAACAAACATATGTAAAATGTAAATACCGAAATCATAATTTTAACACGCTACTAAACAGCTTAAATTCAAGAACAGAAAATGGGAAATTGTACTGAATTACAGCAATATGAAATACGAACACTAAATACACAACTTGTCCTATAGAGTCAAAAGAATGGGGA